ATATCTCTCTTGAATCGTGGTGCCCAGAATTGGACACAATATTCCAGGTGTGGTCTAACCAAAGCAAAATAGAAGGTGTAGTGAATTTTGTGATCTATGTTGTATTTTTGGGGTGTAGCTCTAGGTTACAATATGGCTGATAGGGAAGAATTGGCTCAAATAGGGTAGCAACAGTGAAGGCAGGATTAATTTGCATAAGTGAAGCCGATTGGTCGTATGCAGATGAGAGTATGCCAGGATTTGAAAAGGCCGCTGAGCCAAAATGGCAGTTACAGAACTGAACATTCTAAAGGGGCGGAGTCAAGTTTGAAAGAAGCAGTTAGAGTTTGTCAGTGAAGTGGAGAGCAGTTAGGAATCTCGGGTAGAGAGAAGTGGTCGGGAAATAGAGCTCAAAGTTTAAGGAAAAATAAGAAGGCACCAGTGTAGCCTAAGTCAGAATATAGTTCAGCCAAGGGAATGTGAAGAAAGTAACATATTCATTGATGTGAGACAGCGAGGGTTTCATAAGAAAAGTTAACTGAGTGAATGATACTGAATGTAAGACTCGAGACTGTAACAAAACACAAATGTAACCATAAAGCCTTGGAACCAGAAGCTATAAATAAACTTTGTTACTTTGTTGCTTACCAGAGTGTCTCAAGCTTGTGATATAAAGCACAAAGGTTTAACAGCTCACAAGAAAGCCCCAGCCAATTTAAAAGGGAAACTGCAGCAATACAAGGTGGTAAAAGAATTTAGAAAGGAAATTCTTTTTCCCCTCACTGAGTCAAGAAGAAAGGCACCTGTAAAAGGACAGAAACAGAGTATATCCCAGGTATTAAAGTGGCAACAGAAAACTACATATGTGGTGTGGCATCATGTATTCAGTTATGTGCAATGTTACACCCCACAGAGGGGTAGCATGACTTCCCTAGATCTAGACACTATGCTCCTATTGATGCAGGCCAAAATCCCATTGTCTTTTTTTGCCGCCACATCACATTCCTGGCTCATGTTTAACTTGTTGTTCAAGAGGACTCCCAAGATCTTTTCCACACGTCCTACTCTTAAGCCAGGCCTCATCGTCCCCCATTCTGTCTCTTTGCATTTCGTTTTTCCTGCCAAAGTGGAGTCTTTTGCATTTGTCCCTGTTGAACTTCATTTTGTTAGTTTTGGCCATTCATCTCTCTAATCTGTCGAGATTGTTTTGAAATCTGCTCCTGTCCTCAAGTTTGAATGTATGTTAGTTCGTTATTATGGGAGGCTTAGGCCAATGATTATTGTCTATTTGTGCACGTTTCTGTTTTTGTTTTTAATGTTGACACAGCCAATGGACTAATCAATAAACTTTGCTTGCTTGCTAGACACGCTTCTCTCCATTTTCTGTTTTGCAGAATCTCCTAAAGTGTGAAGAAACTGCCAAGGGGTCCGGAAACAGACGATGCTTTGTTTGACTCGGAGCAAGAAAAGTGCCCGTTCTTCCTGATGCCTTGGGACACCTCCTTCTGACCCCAAAAGCCAAAGTGAGTCTCTCCATATGACTATATAGACTCGAGTCTAATGCGCCAGCAAATCGAATGCGCACCTCGATTTCCAAAACCTTGAAACAAACAAAAAAAGCATTTGCTGGGGAATGCAATGCGCAGGAGCTCCTGCAGCAGGTGGTCAGTGGTTGGCTCTTCTCCGCACTCGCATGTCGTGGATTCCACTTTGTGGCCCCATTTCTTAAGATTGGCTCTGCATCTCGTGGTGCCAGAGCGCAGTCTGTTCAGCGCCTTCCAAGTCGCCCAGTCTTCTGTGTGCCCAGGGGGGAGTCTCTCATTTGGTATCAGTTCTGGGTTTGAGCCTGCCACTTTTGGACTCTCGCTTGCTGAGGTGTTCCAGCGAGTGTCTCTGTAGATCTTAGAAAACTATGTCTAGATTTAAGTCGTTGACGTGCTGGCTGATACCCAAACAGGGGATGAGCTGGAGATGTCTCTGCCTTGGTCCTTTCACTATTGGCTGCTACTTCCCGGCGGATGTCAGGTGGTGCAATACCGGCTAAGCAGTGTAATTTCTCCAGTGGTGTAGGGCGCAGACACCCCGTGATAATGCGGCATGTCTCATTAAGAGCCACATCCACTGTTTTAGTGTGGTGAGATGTGTTCCACACTGGGCATGCATACTCAGCAGCAGAGTACCATAGCGCAAGGGCAGATGTCTTCACTGTATCTGGTTGTGATCCCCAGGTTGTGCCAGTCAGCTTTCGTATGATATTGTTTCTAGCGCCCACTTTTTGCTTGATGTTCAGGCAGTGCTTCTTGTAGGTCAGAGCACGGTCCAGAGTGACTCCCAGGTATTTGGGTGCGCTGCAATGCTCCAGTGGGATTCCTTCCCAGGTAATCCTCAGAGCTCGGGATGCTTGTCTGTTCTTAAGGTGAAAGGCACATGTCTGTGTTTTAGATGGATTAGGGATCAGCTGGTTTTCCCTGTAATAGGCAGTAAGAGCACCTAGAGCTTCGGAGAGCTTCTGTTCAACCATCTCAAAGCTCCCTGCTTGAGCGGTGATGGCACGATCATCAGCATAGATGAAGCTCTCTGTCCCTTCTGGCAGTGGCTGGTCATTTGTGTAGATGTTGAACATGGATGGAGCGAGCACGCTCCCCTGAGGCAGGCCGTTCTTCTGTTTCCGCCTCTGCTTCTCTGGCCCTGGAACTCAACAAAGAAGCTCCTGTTTTGTAGCAGGTTTCCTATGAGGCGGGTGAGGTGGTCGTCCTTTGTGATATTATACATTTTTCTCAGGAGGAGGCAGTGGTTCACAGTATCATAGGCTGCTGACAGGTCTATGAAGACAGCTCCTGTGATCTGCTGCCTTTCAAAGCCATCTTCTATGTGTTGAGTCAGTCACAATGGATTCAAATTGTAGGGAAATAACTAAATTAGTCTGGAAAACTGTGGGAATACCTGCCCCCGGTGGCACAGTGGATTAAACCCCTGTGCCATCAGGACTGAAGACCGACAGGTCGCAGGTTCGAATCAGGGAGAGGCGGATGAGCTCCCTCTATCAGCTCCAGCTCCTCATGCGGGGACATGAGAGAAGCCTCCCACAAGGATGATAAAACATCAAAATCATCCGGGCGTCCCCTGGGCAACGTCCTTGCAGACGGCCAATTCTCTCACACCAGAAGCGACTTGCAGTTTTGTTGCTGTTATTATTATTATTATTATTATTATTATTATTATTATTATTGCAGGTATTACTATTAATTATTGTTGTTGTTATTATTATTATTATTATTTGAAACCCAAGATGAGTGCACAGCAGACACTCTGCTGGCTGTTGAATTGGATCACACATCAGACACTTCCTAAGTGTCTAGGACTGTGTGATGTATCGGCAAATAATGTGTGCAGATCCCAGCAAGGTGGCCTTTTGCAGCTGGCAGATGGTAATTTTGTCAGCGCTGATTGTTTTTAAGTGCAGGCCAAGGTCTTTAGGCACTGCACCCAGTGTGCCCATCACCACTGGGACCCCCTTGATTGGCTTGTGCCAGAGTCTTTGCAATTCAATCTTTAAATCCTCATATCGTGTCAGCTTTTCCAGTTGTTTCTGTCGCCTGGGATTGCAACATCGGCAATCCATTGAGGTCAGGAGCCTTGTGCTCCAAAACTCCGTCTGTCTGAATTTGGAAGTACAAGAGTAGCTTGACGTATTCATTTTCTGTAACTTTTTCCGGCTTGTGATCCCACCTGTTCTTTGTCGCAGGAAGATGGTGTTTGTGGCACAAGTTCCAATGGATTGTCTGAGCAACAATGTTGTGCCTCTGCTTGTAGTCTGTCTGCGCAATCTTCTTGCAGCAGCTGAGGATGGGATCTATTTAATGTATTGTCGAAGGCTTTCATGGTTGGAATCACTGGGTTGTTGTAGGTTTTTTCGGGCTATATGGCCATGTTCTGGAGGCATTTTCTCCTGACGTTTCGCCTGCATCTATGGCAAGCATCCTCAGAGGTAGTGAGGTCTGTTGGAAGTAGGAAAATGGGTTTATATTAGGCCTGGGTAATAATTCGTTATTAATTCGTATTTAAATTAGCTTACGATCCAATATCGAGCCATGCAGGAATAGTGTGAGGAGTAATTAAGAATCGAAACAATTTTTCCAATTTTCGTAATTATTTTCGTAATTTCGTAATTATATTTTATAATATACAATTATAATATAATATAATATTATAATAATATAATATACATTATATATTATATTATATTACATTATATTATTATAATACTATTATATTATAGTATTGTATATATTATTATATTATATATTATATTACTATATTCATAATATAATATACATTATATATTATATTATATTACATTATATTATATAATATACAATTATAATATAATATATAATATAATAATATAATATAATAATATTATAATAATATAATATACATTATATATTATATTATATTACATTATATTATTATAATACTATTATATTATAGTATTGTATATATTATTATATTATATATTATATTACTATATTAATAATATAATATACATTATATATTATATTATATTACATTATATTATTATAATACTATTATATTATAGTATTGTATATATTATTATATTATATATTATATTACTATATTCATAATATAATATACATTATATATTATATTATATTACATTATATTATTATAATACTATTATATTATAGTATTGTATATTATATTATTATATTATATATTATATTACTATATTATATTATAATTGTATATTATAATATATATAATATATTATATATAATATAATATAATATTATATATTTAATATAATAAATATTATATATATTATAATATAATATAATATAATATAATATAATATAATAATATAATATATAATTATATAAATATTATAATATAATATACAACAATATAATATAATCATATTATAATAATATAATATAATATAATATAATATAATAATAACATAATATAGTTGTTTGTTTTATCACACCAACAGTCAACAACAGAGGGAGAGGGAAGCTTGGAGGTTTTTTTAGCATATTGCGCAATCGCGTCCGCCATTAACAAATCGATTCGTAATTTTACGAAATTTCATATATTTCAAAAAATATTTAAAGTAAAATTTTGGAATTCTTTAAAAAAAACGAAACGCAAGGGCCCCCTAAAAACGAAACAAGTTTAGAACCAAATTTTTCCGTGGTTACCCAAGCCTCGTTTATATATCTGCGGAATAACCAGGGTGGGACAAAGGACTTTTGTCTGCTGGAGCAAGGTGTGAATGTTTCAACTGACCACCTTGATTGGCATTTAATGGCTTGGAAGTGCCTGGGGGGAATCTTTTGTTGAGAGTGATTTGATGTGCCTGATTGCTTACTCTCCAACTAAAAACTGTCAGGCCACCAAATGCTAATCAAGGTGGTCAGTTGAAACATTCACACCTAGCTCCAGCAGACAAGAGTCCTTTGTCCCCCCCTGGTCCATTCCACAGATATATAAACCCATTGTCCTAATTCCAACAGACCTCACTACCTCTGAGGATGCTTGCCATAGATGCAGGCGAAACGTCAGGAGAAATGCTTCTAGAACATGGCCATATAGCCCGAAAAAACCTACAACAGTGTTTCTCAACCTTCCTAATGCTGTGACCCTTTAATACAGTTCCTCATGTTGTGATGACCCCCAACCATAGCATTATTTTTGTTGCTATTTCATAACTGTCATTTTGCTCCTGTTCTGAATTGTCATGTAAATATCTGATGTGCAGGATGTATTTTCATTCACTGGACCAAATTTGACACAAATACCCGATACACCCAACTTTGAATACTGGTGGGTTGGGGGGGGGGGGGTTATTTTGTCATTTGGGAGTTGTAGTTGCTGGGATTTATAGTTCACCTACAATCAAAAAGCATTCTGAACTCCACCAATGATGGAATTGAACCAAACTTGGCACACAGAACTCCCATGACCAACAGAAAATACTGGAAGGGTTTGGTGGGCATTGACCTTGAGTTTGGGAGTTGTAGTTCACCTACATCCAGAGAGCACTGTGGACTCAAACAATGATAGATCGGGACCAAACTTGGCACGAACACTCCATATACCCAAATATGAACACAGATGGAGTTTGGAGGAAATAGACCTTGACATTTGGGAGTTGTAGTTACTGGGATTTATAGTTCACCTACAATCACAGAGCATTCTGAACCCCATCAAGGATAGAATTGGGCCAAGTTTCCCACACAGAATCCCCATGACCAACAGAAAATACTGTGTTTTCTGATGGTCTTTGGCGACCCCTCTGACACCCCCTTGAGACCCCCACACGGGTCCCGACCCTCAGGTTGAGAAACACTGACCTACAACAACCCGATGTGATCTATCGTTTCATCTGTTTGTTGTTGTTGTTGTTGTTATGGTGTCTCCTTCTGTGCGGCTGCTGGGAACTGCACTTTAAGGACCCGGGAGCAGCGCTGAAAGCTTTGCCAGGTCCTTCACCCACTTCTCCTTCCTCCGCAGGTGCCCCGTTCCTTCTCCGTGGCAGACATGAGAACCTCAGAAGAGCCACCGTCAGCCACCACCGTCTTGCAGCGCTTGCTTCAGGAGCAGCTCCGCTATGGCAATCCCAGCGACAGCCGCACCCTGCTGGCCCTGCATCAGCAAGCCACAGCGGGCAACGTGGGGGCACCTTTTGCGGCAGGTGGCGCAGGACCCCAGTCGGGCCCCGGGGAAAGCCTGGGCCCCTCGGAGCACACAACTGGGTCCCACGTGGCACGCCAGGAGCCGCAGGGGCAGGAGATCCCAATGGACGGCGTGGGCGCCATGGAGAAGCAGCTCTCCCCGCGTGGCGGAGGCCCAAACAGCGAGGACCTCCCCACCTACGAAGAAGCCAAGGTCCAGTCGCAGTACTTCCGTGGCCAGCCCCACGCCAGTGTTGGGGCCGCTTTCTACGTCACGGGGGTCTCCAACCCGAAGGTGAGGACTGAAGGGCGACCCACTGTGCAAAGGGTCAGCCCTGGGAAGGTCCACCAGGACGAGGGTCTCAGGGACCTCAAGCAGGGCCACGTCCGGTCCCTAAGCGAGAGGCTCATGCAGCTCTCTTTGGCCACCAACGGGGTCAAGGCCCACGCGCCGGTCACCAGTGCCCCGCTCTCTCCACTCACCCATCACCAGCATCACCACCAGCAACAGCAGGGCAGCGACTTCTACAAGAACCCCGGCCCCCCAAAAGGGATGGAGCACCGGGGGCCACCCCCTGAGTACCCCTTCAAGAACCTCTCCAGCCCACCCTTGGGGTGCAAGCCACAGGAGCCCGGCCACTACTATACTGACCATCGGATGTCCTTGCAAAGCCGGGCCGAGGGACCCATGGTGAGGTACCAGCACCCTCCGGAATATGGATCATTCAGGTAAGGCACACTCCATCTCGGGAGGTCTTCTATAACGACCAAGGCACCACCTAAAATATGTGCGTGTGTTCACCAAAAATATAACGCCATCAAAAGGAAGAGGGAATATGGTTGCTGAAACAGTTGTATAGATTTGAATTTCTCTTTAAATTATTTATTTATTTATTTATTTATTTGATACACTTGTATACCGCTAATATCTCAGCCTAGAACGGCGACTCATTGCGGTTTACAGCAGTTAAAACAATCTACAATTTAAAAACATATACACATATAATAACAAATTCAATAACAAATTATTGGGCCACCAATAATAATCCCATATATCTCGAGTTGAAATCGCAATCCAGAATTCGTTGTCCATGTTTCCTGTCCTTAGTCATCAATATTCGAATTGCCACAGATTAGCCGAATGCTTGTTTGAACAGCCATGTTTTGAGTCTCTTCCTAAACACCATCAGCGAAGAGGCTGATCGTACCTCTATAGGGAGGGTGTTCCAAAGCCGGGGGGCCACCACAGAGAAGGCCCTGTCTCTCGTTCCCGCCAGCCGCACTTCTGAAGCTGGAGGGATAGAGAGAAGGGACTCTCCGGAAGATCTTAGGGTCCTGGTGGGCTGATAGGCTGAGATACGTTCGGATAGATAAGTTGGGCCAGAACCGTTTAGGGCTTTAAAGGCCAATGCCAGCACTTTGAATTGAGCCCGGTAGCATATCGGCAGCCAGTGGAGCTGGTTCAGCAAGGGAGTTGTATGCTCCCTGCGCCCCGCTCCTGTTAGAATCATGGCTGCCGCCCGTTGGACTAACTGGAGCTTCCGGACTGTCTTCAAAGGCAACCCCACGTAGAGAGCGTTGCAGTAATCAAGGCGGGATGTAACCAGAGCGTGGACTACCGTGGCTAAGTCAGACTTCCCAAGGTACGGTCGCAGTTGGCGCACAAGTTTTAACTGTGCAAAAGCTCCCCTGGTCACCGCCGAAACCTGGGGTTCCAGGCTCAGCGATGAGTCCAGGATCACACCCAAACTGCGAACCTGCGTCTTCAGGGGGAGTGCGACCCCGTCCAACACAGGCTGTAACCCTATACCCTGTTCGGCCTTGCGACTAACCAGGAGTACCTCTGTCTTGTCTGGATTCAATTTCAATTTGTTCGCCCCCATCCAGACCGTCACAGCGGCCAAGCACCGGTTCAGGACCTCGACAGCCTCCTTAGTAGCAGGTGGAAAGGAGTGACAGAGTTGGACATCATCTGCATACAAATGACATCGCACTCCGAAACTCCGGATGATCTCGCCCAGCGGCTTCATGTAGATGTAAATTAGTTGTCGTTATACATGCCACTGATTATCTACCAATATCGGGGGAGATTAGAGCAGAGAAGGGGAGAGACACTTAGTATTTTAAAAGGTAGGAACTGGGAAACACTAGAACTGAGAGACTTAAAATGATTCTTCAAATGAATTCCCGCTGCCACCATTCCAATAATAATCAGGCTGAGGTAATATTGTGAGTTTGTTCTGTAACACACACTGGGCCACTATAGTTTCTTAGTGGCTGCTGTGAAACTGACTTTAAGAATACTTTGACCATGAAGTCACACACACTGAGCCTGGTATAAATTAATAAAATAACAAGAATGTTTACTGAACAGGCTTGAATTAATTCAGGTACAAATGCTTAATGGTTTCAGAAAGTTTCTGGCATGAAAAAGCTTGTGGTTGTCACTGTGGAAAATAATAATAATAATAATAATAATAATAATAATAATAAACCTTTATTTATACCCCGCTAACATCTCCCGAAGGACTTGGTGTGGCTTACAAGAGGCTGAGGCCCAACACATCAATAAAACAACAGCATAACAAAATACAACAATAAATAAACTCATAAACTCATAAAACAAAACAATAAACATTAAAAGACTAGCAGTAAACATTAGACAATAACACAATGACGCATTTAAAATTAAGGCCGGGCCAAATGTAATGATTAAATTTTTTTAAAATGCTGGACATGACAGGTGAAATGGAGAGGTTTTTGGAGATAGGTGCGGTGTGCAGATAAATTTAAATCTCTAGTAAAGTGCATTTGATGCTTGGAGTTTCCTATTCTGGGAAGGCACACTGGAACAAGCACGTTTTCAAGCTCCTCTTAAAGACTGCCAAAGATGGGGCATGCCTAATGTAATGTCCTTGGGGAGTGAGTTCCAGAGTCGAGGGGCCACCACCGAGAAGGCCCTATCGTCCCCACCAAACGCGCTTGCGATGGAGATGGGATCATAAGTAGGGCCTCTCCAGATGAACGAAGAGATCGTGTGGGTTCGTACACAGAGATGCGGTCACGCAGGTAGGCGGGTCCCAAACCGTTTAGGGCTTTGTAGGTAAGCACCTGCACCTTGAATTGGGACCAGAAAATGAACGGCAGCCAATGGAGCTCCTAAAACAGGAGGGTTGACCTCTCCCTGTAACTTAGTATTTTAAAAGGTAGGAACTGGGAAACACTAGATCTGAGAGACTTACAATGATTCTTCAAACGAATTCCGCTGCCACCATTCCAATAATAATCAGGCTGAGGTAATATTGTGAGTTTGTTCTGTAAGACACACTGGGCCACTATAGTTTCTTAGTGGCTGCTGTGAAACTGACTTTAAGAATACTTTGACCACAAAGGTACACACACTGAGGCTGGTATAAGGAAAGAAAGAAAGAAAGAAAGAAAGAAAGAAAGAAAGAAAGAAAGAAAGAGGAGGGAAGGAAGGAAGGGAAGGAGAAAGGGAAGGAAGGAGAAAGGGAAGGAAGAAGGAAGGAAGGAAGGAAGGAAGAAGGAAGGAAGGAAGGAGAAGGAAAAGGGAAAGGAAGGGGAAAGGAAGGAAGGGGAAAGGAAAGGAAGGAAGGAAGGAGGGAAGAAAGGGAAGAAGGAAGGAGGAGGAAGGAAAGAGGGGAGGAAGAGAAGAAAGGAAGAAGAAAGAAGGGGAAGAAGGAAGGGGAAAAGGAAGGAAAGAAGAAAGAGAAGGAAGGAAGAGGAGGAGAAAGAAGAAGAAGAAGAGGAGAAGGAGGAAGGAAAAGAAAAGGGGAAGGAAGGAAGGGGAAGAAAGGGAGAAGGGAAAGAAAGGAAAGGAAGGAAGGAGAAGAGAGAAAGAGGGAAAGAAGGGAAGGAAGAAAAAGGGGAAGGAAGGAGAGAAAGAAAGAAGGGGAAGAAGGAAGGAAGAAAAGAATGAAGGAAAGAAAGAAAGAAAGAAAGAAATAAAGAAAGAAGAAAGAAAGAGGAGAAGGAAGGAGGAGAAGGAGGGAGGGAGGGAAGAGAGAAAGAAAGGGAAGGAAGAGAAAGGAAAGGAAAGGAAGGAAGGAAGGAAGGAAAGGAAGGAAGGAAGAAAGAAGGAAGGAAGAAGAAAGAAAGAAGGAAGAAGGAAGGAAGGAAAAGGAAAGAAGGAAGAAGGAAGGAAGGAAGGAAGGAGGAGAGGAAGGAAAGGAAGGAAAGGAAGGAAGGAAAGGGGGGGAGGAAAGAGGAAAGGAAGGAAGGAGAGAAAGAAAGAAGGGCAGGAGGAAAGGAGAAAGGAAAAAAAGAAAGAAAGGGGGAAGGAAGGAAGGAGAAAAAGAAAGGGAAGGAAGGAAGGAAAGAAAGGGAAAGAAAGAAAGAAAAGAAGGGGAAGGAAGGAAGAGAGAGGGAAAGAAGGGAAGGAAGGAAGGAAAGAAGGGGAAGGAGAGGAAGGAAGGAAGGAAGGAAGGAAGGAAGGAAGGAAGAAAAAAGGAAGGAAGGAAGGAAAGAAAGGGGGGAAGGGAAGGAGGGAGAAGGAAAGAAAAGGAAGGAAGGAGAGGAAGGAAAAAAAGGAAGGAAGGAAGGAGGAGAAAAGAAAAGGAAGGAAGGAAGAAGAGAGAAGGGAAAGAAAGGAAGGGAGGAGAAGGAAAGAAAAAGGGGAGGAAGGAGAGAAAAGAAAGAAGGAAGGAAAAAGAAAAAGAAAGAAAGGAGAAGGAAGGAGGGAAGGGAGGGAAGGAAAGGAAGGAAAGGAAGGAAAGAGGGGGAAGGGAAAGAAAGGAAAGAAAGAGGGGAAGGAAGGAAGTAAAGAAAGAATGGGAAGGAGAGAAGGTTGGCCACAGCAACTGGTAGCGGGTACAGCTAGTAAAAAATGAAAAACAGGAGAGAAGGAAATAAAAAAAGAGAAGGAACGAGAGAAAGAGGGAGGGAAGGTTGGCCACAGCAAGGTATGCCAGGTACAGCTAGTAAAGGTATAATATTGAAAAGCAACAAGCCATTTCTGTCCCATAATGTCTGTGCTAGATATTCTATGCATCCTCCTCTCTAGATGCTTGAGAGCATAAGAAGGTTTTTAGTTGTTGTTGTTTTAAAGAGATCCCCTTTGGCGATGCCGATGGTGACACTGTTCCTTCTTCCTTGGCCCCTGCAGGCAGAACCAGGACTTCCCCTTGCTGCCTCCTCCGGGCCGCCCCCCGCACCACCACAGCCCAACCTCCTCGTTGACCTCCTTGGGCTCGCTGTCGCTGCTCCAGTCGCTGCCGCCGTCGTCCCGCCTCTCCCCCTCGCAGCAGCCCCCCACCCCCAGCCACGGGGACCCCTTTGCCTTTCCCTCACCACCCCCCGGTGCCCAGCCCCTCTTCCTCGCGGGCCAGCTCCACCAGGGAGACCTCTTCCGCCTCTGCCACCAGCAGCAGCAACAACACCACCACCAACAGCAACACCACCAGCAGCAGCACCACCAGCCAGGGGACTCGTACTCGGGGCTCCCGCGGCCCCCACCAGCGCCCTCCCCATACCAGCCGGTGCCGGTGGACCCCTTCGCCATCGTCTCTCGGGCGCAGCAGATGGTGGAGATCCTCTCCGAGGAGAACCGCTCCCTGCGCCAGGAGCTGGACGGCTGCTACGAAAAAGTGGCCCGGCTGCAGAAGGTAGGCGTTTGTGTATACACATCTATGTTGTGATTGTTGCACTAAAGTCCTGAAACACCTTTGCATCATAAACCGCACTCCGTCCAGATAATCTAGTAAGTAGGGTTGGCTGATCCAAGTCGTAAGTTTCGTAACTCGTAATGAAATCGTAAATAATTTGCCTTTCGAAGCGATATCGACACGTTTTGGCAACCCGGAAGTGTTTTTGCCATATCGAAGCCGCGTCCGCCATCTTCCTTACGACTTCCGCCAGTGAATCGTAAATTCTGAACTCCACCAGTGATGGAATGGAACCAAATATGGCACACAGAACTCTCATGACGAACAGAAGATATATATCAGTGATTGGTTGGGGTGGGGGTGGGGGCGCCAAAATACTGTTTGCCTACCGTCGAAAATTACCTAGGGCCGCCTCTGATTATAAGTGAACTATAAATCCCAGCAAGTACAACTCCTAAATTACAAAATCAATCCTCCTCCCCCCAACCCTACTAGCATTCACATTTGGGCATATTAGATATTTGTGCTCAATTTAGTCCAGTGAATGAAAATACATCCTGCATATCAGATATTGACATTACGAATTATAACAGTAGTAAAATGACAGGCAGGGGGGGGGGGGTGCTTTTGTATTGATAGAATCCTAGAATCCTAGAGCTGGAAGAGACCTCCTGGGCCATCCAGTCCAACCCCATTCTGCCAAGAAGCAGGAATGTTGCATTCAAATCACCCCTGACAGATGGCCATCCAGCCTCTGTTTAAAAGCTTCCAAAGAAGGAGCCTCCACCACACTCCGGGGCAGAGAGTTCCACTGCTGAACGGCTCTCACAGTCAGGAAGTTCTTCCTCATGTTCAGGTGGAATCTCCTCTCTTGTAGTTTGAAGCCATGGTTCCCTTGCGTCCTAGTCTCCAGGGAAGCAGAAAACAAGCTTGCTCCCTCCTCCTCCCTGTGGCTTCCTCTCACATATTTATACATTTATTTATTATTTATTTACAGCTTTTCTATTCCGCCCTTCTCCTCACCCCGCAGGGGACTCAGGGCGGATTACAGTGTACACATATATGGCAAACATTCAATGCCAGTTTTGACATACAAACATATACAGACATAGACAGAGGCTATTTAACTTTTTCTGGCCACCAGGGGAGCTGTCGCTTTCATCGTCCATCTGCGACGCTGATGAAGCACTTCCGCATTCCCCGCATGCTTCCTCGCTGGAGTCTTCTTTATGGCCTCATAAATCAGTTAATTTAGCCTCCCCACACTTTAAGGTGTTACCTAATTTTCCTACTTGACAGATGCCACTGTCTTTCAGGTTGCAAAGGTCGACAACAGGCTACACATAATTGGTTGGAAACCCTCTCCAACCCGGGCTGGTTTCGAACTCATGACCTTTTGGTCAGAGTGATCTTAATGCAGCTGACACTCAGCCTGCTGCGCCACAATCCCGGTGCCCACAATCCCAGTGCTTAGCCGGTATTTGGTATTAGATTCTGGGTTTGAGCCTGCCACTTTTGGACTCTCGCTTGCTGGGGCGTTCCAGCAAGTGTAACAATCCTGGTGCCATCATATCTCCTCTCATGGCTATCATATCTCCTCTCAGCCTTCTCTTCTTCAGGCTAAACATGCCCAGCTCCTTAAGCCGCTCCTCATAGGGCTTGTTCTCCAGACCCTTGATCATTTTAGTCGCCCTCCTCTGGACACATTCCAGCTTGTCAATATCTCTCTTGAATTGTGGTGCCCAGAATTGGACACAATATTCCAGGTAAAGTGGTCTAACCAAGGCAGAATAGAGCATGGGGAGCAGGACTTCCCGGGATCTAGACACTAGGCTCCTATTAATGCAGGCCAACATCGCATTGGCTTTTTTGTTTTTTTTGCTTTGCTTCCTTGTGCTGAACATGAAACTAACTTTGGGAGGTTTCCAAGCTTTACAAAATGCAAACAGAAAAGTATTGGGAAAGTTTTTGGCACGGCACACACTCACATGTCAGATATTGCCTCGTAATTGAACAAATTTGATCTGATTTATGAGGACTAACAAAAAAATTGCACACCCCTTGCAGACACATCTCCTGACAATGAGGCCTGGCTCGAGAGCAGTACGTGTGAAAAAGATCTTGAAGTCCTTGTGGACAACAAGTTAAACATGAGCCAACAATGTGATGTGGCGGCAAAAAAAGCCAATGGGATTTTGGCCTGCATCAATAGGAGCCTAGTGTCTAGATCTAAGGAAGTCATGCTCCCCATGCTCTATTCCGCCTTGCTTAGACCACTTTACCTGGAATCATATTGTGTCCAATTCTGGGCACCACAATTCAAGAGAGATATTGACAAGCTGGAATGTGTCCAGAGGAGGGCGACTCAAATGATCAAGGGTCTGGAGAACAAGCCCTATGAGGAGCGGCTTAAGGAGCTGGGTGTGTTTAGCCTGAAGAAGAGAAGGTTGAGAGGAGATATGCCAGCTTGACCAGGGCGGGTCGGCGCTGCTTGTGTTATTGGATCTCGCAGCAGCATTGGACACAGTCGACCACAATC